GATTCTCCATGCCCATCTTAGACAAAACAGTGAATTAGTTTGCAGCTTAGCTACTAACATTCAAGTAAATTATGGTTTTTTAAAAATTACTTTTCAAATAAAATTGAAAAAGCTAAGTTCAAGGTTTTGAAAACATTTGGGAAAAATGACAGGCATGTTTTTTGAAAATGTAAACAGCTTGCCTTTGAAAAAACTGCATTTTATATATTTATTTTACAGTTGTGCGTTATTGCAGAATGTGGAGAGCTAAAGGAAGGAGATAACTGGGGGATCTCTCCCATGGACGGTTCTGGAGATACTCATGCAGACTTTCCTGAAGATTCTGACATAGATTTAAAGGAAGTAAGTGTTTCACTTCATTCCATATGTTAAAGAAGGTTTGTTAAAAGTTCATTTTTAATTACTGATCTATGTTTTTTAAAGTAGAAAACAAGTAACACAAATTTGTCCTAGTCTTGATTTCTATCTTGACAGTCTGCAGCTTCCAAAACTTTAAGGCTAGATGGAGTGCTCTATTTGTTCTTCTGACATGTTGCTGAATTGCATGTCTTAATACAATATAAAGTTTTACCCAATACAGATAGTCCTTGATTTACAACCATTTGTTTAGCAACCGTTCAAAGTTATGACAGTGATGAAAAAAGTAACGACGGTCCTTGTGCTTATGACCATCACAGCGTCCCCGCAGTCACATGATCAAAATGGTTAGTGTCCTGGGGTCACGTGATTGCCATTTGAAACCTTCCCAGCTGGCTTCTGACAAGCAAAATCAGTGGAGAACTGACAAATTTTCGGGTTCCTGTTTTGGTCATAAGTCGAGGGCTACCTGTAGTGTGTACTACTCCCAAGCTGTTTTTCCCAGAATTCTTTGTGGAACAAAATGAAATATGATACTAAGTTCACTGCATTTTCTTCTTTTTTTGTAGGTTGACAAGATTGTCACTGTAGCTGAAGATGTAAAAAATATAGGCAATACATTCTTCAAATCACAAAATTGGGCAATGGCAGTCAAGAAATATAGCAAGTCTTTGAGGTAAAATTATGTGCTGTCCTTAAAAGAATACTCTACCTAGAGCTGTCAGGTCTGAACTGCAAAAATCTGGATGACCACTGGTAGGTAGCAAAGAGATACAGAAAATGTTAGCTCTTTGCTGCCATCTGGTAGTCATCCATATTTTTGCAGCCCAGATTTGGTAGCCCTGGTTACTTGTAACTAGTTACTTGTCCACATACTCTCATTTTTTTATTAGAAAGTGAAATTGTGAATAGACAAAGTAGTCCTTTTCTCATTTCTAATACTTTGGTAGGTAGCACATGGCCCTCATACTACCTGAAATGGCACCATCAAAAAAACAGAATATAATTTTCTGCAAAAATATGAGAGGAGAGTGTAAGCTGTTGTAAGGGTTTAAAAGAAGTAAAAAAAACCCAAAGGACAACCTCCCAAAATCCAGGCCCCACCTACTTGTATCATTTTACTGTGCTTGCTTTGCCCATTGCAATGTTTGATCATTGTAATTTTTTTAAAAACAGTTTATTTCAAACTTCTTTAATTTTATTTATGTAACTTGGGTGCACTCTATTCAATTAAAAGGGGATGAGGAATGGTGAAAGGCAGCTAGTTGAGTCAAGACTAAATTGTTTAAATTTAGGTCCCATTCAAATTATCTTAAGGATTGATTTGCTTCAGTGTTTAGTGAAACTTGACTTAATCAGGAGCATGTTTGCCCCAGACTTAGCCAACTGTGATTGGTTAATGTGAACATGTATACCACTGTTTTATCCACAGCTAGCATGGCTCCTTAATCAGTTGATGGCTTTCCTCTGGTAAACCATTTCTAGTTAATACTAGCTCATGTTTAAAAGGTTACTGATTTCAAATGCCAGTCTGTACTAATTAGAAATTATGGCTGCTTTAGTTGTCAGCTGGAGAAATACAGGATGTGGGCTAAAATAATACTGTACATGTTCACTAGCTGTGTGGCATAGCATGTTGTGCAGGCACATTGTTTAGTAGTAATAATCTGGTTTAACTTGCAAGCCATTGATTCAATATTGCTAGTTAGTGAATTGGTTATACAGGTAGTCCTCATTTAGCAACCTCAATATGTTCTGGTGAAATGGTCACTAAGTAAACCACATGACAGAGAGAGAGACACTGCAAAGATCACTGGTTGGTACCATCTCATTTAGATAAAGTTCTCTTGTGCAGTAACGCCAGCGTTAACTCTCACTCTGGCATGCATTGTTGTCAGGTGCAGAAATTTGGGAGTAAGTGTGTGCATTGGTCAGGAAATGATTTTTTTACTACTGTTTATTACTATTGTATTTGCAAATGGTTGCGATCCAAGGTAGTCGCTAAATGAGGACTATCTGTACTATAAAACCTACAATCTTATTTTATACAGGTACATTGAAGCTTCTAAAGCTGTGGCAGAGGAAGAAAGTTCAGCAAAGCTGAATATGGTAGCATTGACATGTTACCTTAATATTGCTGCATGCAAACTGAAATTATTGGAGTGGCAGGATGCAATTGAAAACTGTGCTAAGGTAAATATTCTTTCCACAAAATAAGTTCTGTAGCTTTCCATGAAGTCATAAATGTCTTAAAGTAATCACATAGATTCCCCCTTAATATTTAATAAGGCTGTTCTTATCAAAGTAAAAAAGATGATTCACAGTGTACAGAGGTGCACACATCATGCTCAATTCAGAGCATACATGTGTGCCCATGTCATATATGTGAGCCACCTCTTTAAATCAGTCACATCTTTTCCTGGTATTATGTGACTGCTGCTGCCTAAGGCCAGGAACAGAAACTCCTTTTTAAAGGAGTTCCTGGCAGGTGTGATATGCTCATACTTCCAGTCATTTTTTTTCTCTGAATCTGAATTGCTGCACAGCCCCAATACCTTATTCAAGTGTTTGCATTACATGTTATAAGTATTGAGATTATATTCTTAGATTTGCTTTGTAGAGTATGTTATTTGTAAAATCTTTTCTGTGTAAATATTCAATAAATGTTTCTACATGTAAATATTCTGTGTGCTGTATAATTATGCTGTAGTGTATATTCTCAGGACTTTATGTACCCAATGATAGAAATGGTTAGATGAGCATGCAGTACTTACGCAAATACAGTAAATACTCAATTTAGCACAGTAATAGGGTGGAAAAATTGCCTGTTAAAGCAGAATATTTATTAAATCCAAATGGAAGTTTACATGTGTGTAATATAGGAATGGGACTTTACAAGTTTTATATATGCACAAAGTAGTAAACAAAATTTTAAATCTGCACAGAAGCATACCGTACAGTGTCTTTTGCACCCGAAGCCTGCTAAACCTGGATCCATTATATTTACAGTGTATGCTCAATACAATTAATCCCCAAATGGATTACTTGTGGGAAAGGGTACCTGTTAAAACCAAATATCATAAATTCAGATGTATGCAATAGGCACGTTTATTACATAGTTTATGTAAGTTAACACAAATGATAGAGTTACATCAATTAGGTAATTACACCAATGATGTAAATTGGTGCTTTGGAAATAGTGGACTTTGTCTATTATTTGTTCTGTTACATCCAAGTTTGCTTAATGGGATTTTGAGGTTTTACTGTACAGATGGTAGATGTTAAGACGTTTAGATTGCTAGATGTTTTAGACTTCATTTTCCATTAGTCATATGTTAATTGACAATGAATTATGGTCCAGACTACAGAATTGGACAGTACCAGCTTTCCTATATCCTGACTGAATCTGTGTACATAAAACATCTAAATCAAGCCTTAATAGCTAGAAATGGGTTTTATTGGCATGAAGTATTATAACTAATGTTCTAATTTTACAGGCTCTGGCCATAGATCCTACAAATACTAAAGCACTTTATAGAAAAGCCCAAGCTTGGGAAGGAACTAAAGATTATAATAAGGCGTTGGTAAGTGTAACCATTTTTAGCATTAATATTGCAGTAAGCGTACATTTACATTTTGCTCAAGTATTTATTTAACTTTACAGGTTGAGCTTCAGAAGGCTCAAGACATAGCACCTCAGGATAAAGGTAACATGCTGTTGATGATTAAAAACTTCTAGGATACTTAAGCCAGCATCACAATATTAATTTGGTTCAGGAGGTCAGGGAGAGAGATGGAATGCATATGCTAGACTATCCAGAGTTATATATGCCATTCTCTGTTCCTGTTCTCTGGCATTTTGAACTATTTATAGATAAACTGTGGGTGGATTCACACATTATGATAAATTGTAATGCATCTTGTATGGTTTTGAATTAGTGTTTTGAATTAGTTCCACAATTAAAGTGTGGAAAACTTATCTTTGGTGGGTAAACCATGATTTATGGAGATATTTTCTCTAGATGTAGGCTGAGGTAACACAAAACTTTCTGAATATTTGCATTCTTAGTATACTATTTATGAAAAATACATAAAAGTGTGTGTGTTGCATATACATATTCACAGTGACATTGAATGTGTGACCTTAAACTTTTTTTTTTAACTTCCAAAGCCATCCAAATGGAAGTACAGAAGGTCAAGCAGAAGATAAAAAATGAGAAGGAAAAAGAAAAGGCAGCATATGCAAAGATGTTTGCATGAATGTAGTTTTCTTCTCCATTTGCGCTGATAAAGAGACAGGATTAGTGTGAGTCATTGTGGCAGCATGTTTACGTCTGTCATGTGTTTCATGTCTGTCATACTGCTTCATATGTTTACATTTTGGATTTTTTGAAAGATATGCTTTCAAACCCTTGTTAAGCTGAGCAGAACAACACTTGTAGTTGTATTTCAGCTTAAAATGTAAGGTACTACAAAATAAAACATCAGAATTGATGCTGCAGAGAACTTATACAAATTCAGTAACATACTACCATTTTACATTTTGTAGATTGTTTTTTTCTCCCCCCCCAGTAACTTTCATTACTGCAGAGTGAAATTTGTTACAGAAGTTGAAGAAATAAACAGAATTTCTAACTGTAGAGAATACTTTACTATTTTATTATAACCAAATGAATTAATACCAGAGGTAGTGTTGTTCTATTCTGTTTCTTGTAAAATACTGAAATATTTTTCAGATTAGTCTTTAAAGATCAATTTCCCTGAAACTGGGCCATCAAGAGAAAGATACAATAGTTACAGAAATTAGAAATATATTCTGTTGTATCCAATGTATTCTGGATTACATCCATTATTAGTACTACAATATAGAACAGTTAGGATAAAATCAGACCAGAATGTGTTCAAATTAGTCTTATCAGGCATTCTCTGAATAGAAAAAATACACTCAAATAAAACTTTTCTATTTATTATTTAAGGCACCACCAAGTTCAGGCTGCAGTAGGATACTAAACTCAGAGCCAGTGTGTGTGTTTTATTTAGCCTGGTTACTATTCAATGCTTTAAAATACTTTGTACTCCAAGGTATGTCCACAAATGATAAAACACCACAGGTTAAATAGCGCTGATTTTTTTGCATCCGTTTTTGAAGAGGGGGGGCAGGATTTTGATTTATAGAAAAGGTCAAAACAGAACACATACATTTTGATATTTGACTGAAACATTAACGATCATGCATCTGAGACCCATTTTGCTGCTGAACTTTAGTAGAATGATCTGAGGACATGTGGCCTGCAGATTACTCTGCCCTTCATAAAGAATGAGCCCTTTAGACCACATAACTTTTTTTACGGTAGCAAATCCTGTGTTGGATAGCTTTCTAACATTGCTGACAGATTTTTTTTTTTAAGTTTTGATCAAAACTACATTCCATTATAAGCTGGTCCTCCTCCACCTTCTGGTACAACCCAGTTAATATTCTGGCTGGGGTCTTTAATGTCACATGTCTTACAGTGGACACAGTTCTGAGCATTTATCTGTAATCGCAATCCTTCTCCAGATTCCACAGGAACATATTCATAAACTCCTGCAAAATAGAAAATTACCTTTAGTTCAAGAGACAATAGAACTCAACCAGAAAAGCCCTTATTGAAAAGAAAATCACATTCACAATTTGTAAGGAGAATTAGAAAGTGGAGTAAAGTTGCCTATTTCAATCTTCTCCTTCTCCCAAAACTGCTAGTTACCTGCAGGGCAGAATCGCTGCTCAGGTCCATCATATATAGCTAGGTTGTGGCTGACAGGAATACTATCATCTTTCAAAGTTAAATGAGGAGGTTGGTCATGTTCATGATTTGTACCACTCAAAGCTACTGATGAAAGCAAATCAAAACTGATTTTTCCATCAGGTTTTGGATATTCAATAGGTGTACAATCTTTGGCTGGCTTTAGCTGCTTTGCATCTGTTCCTAAAATAATGATACCAAAGGAGAAACCTGATAAAACCAACTGAAACAATTTAGTCCACATTGGTGACAGTATAACAAAATTAAAGCATATAGTGAGCTGAAAGAAATACCATTTGAAATACCTTTGCTTTCCTTGCACATTTGACTTACTTGAGATATTCTATATTGCTATAAAGAATAATTTAAACAGCTCAATATAACCACCTTTACATTAGATAATACAAAGATATTTTGCCTGATGGGAAAAATACCTTTCAGTTGCATTGGGTTAAAAAAATCAAATGCATAAACAATATCTTTTTAATTACCACAAATATGACTCAGTTTTCTGAACTAAGATGCTAATTGGCTGTGTCTATAATTTCAGGTTATGGTTAAATTTAATAATAATCTCCAATAATGAAAACAAATTTAGTACTGGGAATTGTTAAGAATTAGTTGAAAATAAAAATATAGGTATCTCTGTTGCAGCTACACTTGGGAGATTTCTTTAAAAAATACAAGAATAAATAAGGCACAGATAATAGTAATTAAAGTAATGAAAAAGTTGGGGAAAACTTCCTGTGAGAAGGCTTTTTTTTTTTTTTTTGCATTTAGAAAACAGGACTAGAGGTTAAAAAAAAAAACCTTGATTAAAAGTATTTTCCTTATTATGGAACAACTCCTAGTTCACTCAGTTGGAACATTTATATGACACACAACTATAGAAACAGGCTGCCCTAGTTATATCCAGAGCAGCCATTTCTGACAACATGCTGGCCACCTTTGCAAGGCTAGTAGCCTTCCATTTTCCAGCAGTCTTTTTTCATAGTACATTTAAAAAAGCCAGGGCAGCTTGATTACAGTCAAAGTAATCATGAATAAATGCTCATGTCCCCCCCCCCATCACAAAGGGGAAGAAAACTTGGAAGCTGATTCTTTGGCAGACTCTATAGATTTTTAAATTATTACATTTAGCATGATGCACAAATGCAGCCAATGTTAATATTTTCTTTGATATATTCAAGTAATATTTATGCAAATAATTAATAATTTCTCATCACATCGTATGATGATTATTACAAGCATGAATGTCTTTCTAGATACAGTTAGGCACAGTTCATGAAAGGGAGATGTTTCAATGATTTCCAGTCACTGCACTAGAGGAAACATCTGCACAGGCACCACATCTCTAATACTTTATACCCTGTTATGAATCATAAGCAGCTTACAGAATCATAACTATATAGAAGCTGATGGTCCAACCAAACACAATCCTAGTTACTTAGCTGGTTTTTTTATATTAATTCTGAAAGAAGGCATCAAATTGTATGTTATAAACAAAGTAAGAGCTTTAGAAATTTACCTGGGTGCTTTAGGGTCCAAGGTTCAAATCCTCTTAGTAGCCAATAGAATATACCAGTATAAATCATTCCTCCATATACACCCATGAGTCCATGACAGGAGGGGCGAATATTCCTGACTCCATAAAGCTCTTTCCACACCCATGATTTTTTCAGATTTTCTTCATATTCAGTCACATGAAGACCTAAGAATAAGTACCTAGTTATTAAAAGGCTTTGCAAAACTTAAAAAAAAAACCTAGTGCTCTAGGTTTTTCTTTTTCATAGAGATCAAAGTTTTTCATATTAAAACAACTGTTTTTACTCTGGGAAAATGTAAATTTAGACTACAGTGGATATTGAAAACGAGTAGGATAATGCTAATATATCCTGGGACAGGCCCATGGCTCTCATGATAGTGATGAACTCCCAAATTACCTCTGACCCTGCACCCAGAGAAGGCAGATTGAAGGACCATAAGTCTGGGGAACTCCACCGCCAGCCCAGTCATGGAGTCAAGATGCTTAGGCAGTGAGGTTGCTACATTGCAGAGAGGCTGGTACAATAGTAACAGTCCCAACTGAACCCTAGAGCTCAATTTAACAAACAGGGTTTTGCACCCAGCAATCTGTGAGACAGTGTCCCTGGAACCCACCCAAGTATCTTGGATGACAACTGCCACCCCTACCCCCAGGTCTCGGTTGATGCCACACATGAAACCTAGCTGGGCACAACTCCCCCCGACCCCGATTCCAGCCAGGGTTCAGTGATGCATGGCAGGTCAGCCCTCTCACCCATCATCAAATCACCGGTGAGGATGGCCCTATTACAGACTGACTTGGCATTTAGCAGCAGCATCCAAAAACACAGGGCCTTGAAAATACTGATATGTCTGCATATGTTTAAAAAGAAAAAAACTTACATGGGATGTACTTACTTTTTCACATTATCTGAATTTATTTGCTCTTACGTGTTCCACTTAATAAATTCTATTCATCTGCAATATGACACTTGTAAGGACAATAAGCTAGTGACAAGTAGAGACTTCAATGAGTTGTCAGAAGTCGGTATGTTCGGATCATACCCCTCTTACCTATTGTTTTTGATTGGAGATTTTCGTTGATTAGTTGGTTGAAAATGGCTTCTGAAGCCAGCATACCACTTTTCATAGCAGTGTGTGTACCTTTAATCTTGGGAACATTCATGAAACCTGGACTGCATCCAATAAGAACGCCACCAGGAAAGGAAAGTTTGGGTATAGACTAAATTAAAAAAAAAAATGCTATTAAGAGGACTATTGCAACAATCCATTTATAAATAAGAAACATTTCTGGAGTTGAAACAATGGCTTAATTTCTTCTATATGTAAGTTTAAGGAATTAAAATGCTGATCAACTAGTATATTACCGAGTTGGTTTCTCCACCCCACCCAAATCCAAGTAAGTAACCTTATGTTGCTATTACCTGATAACCCCCTTCATTAAGAGCTCGGGCACCATAAGCAATCCTCTTTCCTCCTTCTAAGGTAGGCTGAACACTAGGGTGATGCTTCCATCTCTGAAATTCCTTAAATGGACTCAAAAAAGGGTTTTGATAATCTAAACCAACCTATAAAGGCATACAAGTAAAATCCAAAATGAACAAACTTGCTTGAGCCAAAACATTACTTGAACACATTCTTTTATTAACTGATGGATATGCATACCTTGCCTTTGGTTACAGAATTATATTTTGTAGCTATCGAATTATTTCTTGTGATTCTATGTCCTTTTCTCTTAGTAATTAATACAATTTGGCATACAATGACCCTGTGATGTGTAACTGACCATGAATCCAGCCACTGAAGATAATAGGTATCAGATTTGATGGATCATCCATCAAAACATCTCACATACGCAGCTGATTTCAAGGGCAAGCTGAACCTTCAGTTTCTGGTCATTTCTCAAAATCTTTCCTCTAGGTTAGCATAACATATTGTAAGGTTTTCTTATTTAAAACATTTCAATACTGCAAGGCATATTATGTTGTGTATAATTTAACATGCATTAAACATATGCAATACAATTAAAATATATTACAACTTATAAATGTGGTCTTTGAGTAGCAATTATATTGTAACTTTGCTCAGTGTTACTGGGAAGGAAGGCCAACAGGACTGAAATAGTTACAGGTATATCCAAAAGGACAACCAAAAGAAAGAAAAACATTTATGAAGGGAAATTAGCAGTGCTCAAACAACATATTAAGACATGGTTTGCAAGTCACAATAGCTAAACCTAAAATCAAACTACATTGTGTCTTAGTGTATTGTGTGGACCAGGCCATCATGTTAAGTCACAGTGATTGGTTGATTTTCATTTGCTATCCTACAGGAACAAAGACATTTTGGTTTGTGAACCATGGTTCCTGGTTTAGCTTGTATGAATATAGCTGAAAAATAATCTTCAGCTGGAAACAACCAAAATGTCTATTTAGAAACCGAACTGCTTAAAATGAAAGCTATACCTTGGAACTCAACAATTTCACTGAAGGAAAAATATATCCTTATAAAATAAACATCTACACTGAACAATCATGAGCCAGGCATTTAAATATTATATTTAAACTATGTTACTAAGGGGTGTGTGTGTGTGTAGAATCCAGAACTCATTTTCATTCCATAGTCCTAAATAGTGAGTTTTGTTTGCATTACAGACCTAGATGTTATTATGTGGAACATTTTGTTTCAGTTTGCTAAGAAGCTTGTTTTGTTTAGACATTAACTTACAACAGAATACTTACTACAAACCCAAGAGCTACCAATGGTTCACCCTCATTCAGATGATAAAGAAATGATCCTCCATATGTATGTTTGTCCAAAGGCCAGCCAACAGTGTGCTCCACTCTTCCTGGTTTCCATTTATTTTCATCAATAAGCCAAAGCTAGAATAGCAAAAAATATATTATGCAGTTCATCAGAAACTATGCTACTAATGGTACACCATTGAAAAGTAAATGTACTATTTACTATTTTGCATAATGCAGAGCTGAACTCTGGTAGTGAAACAAAAAAACAAAACAGCTTGAGTTTCGTAAAATTGCAAATAAAAGTTTTGTATTTGAAACCATATAGCATTCATTCACTTTATAATTCTGAATGAATAACTGACCTATCAAATAAAGTTACAGAGATTTGGCAAATGTGCAAGTGTGAGCAAGTAGGAAATGTGCAAATAGGAAATATGGATGTTGTTATCAATATAATGCAATACCATCATGAACTAACAAAGTACTAAACAGTTTCACCTAAAGAAAAATATTTCCTTATGTATTAAACATCTACAAGATTAATACAACCAGAATTACAGATGCTGGTGTATAATATAGCATACCTCCTTAAGTCCAATGCCGTAAGTCTGGGGCTGACAATTCTCCCTTAGATTATACTTGTTATACAATTGTTTTGCAAGATGACCATGACAACCTTCTGCAAAGACTGTAATTTTGGCATGCAACTCTAAACCTCTCTCAAAGTTACCCTATAACAATAGAACATATAGCATCATTAGATAATACACATTTTAATTTTATGTACAGTCATAAATACACATCTGTGTGACATGTTTCCTTTGTGCCACACAGTTTTCCATATTGCTCCAGAGAAATCAGTCACAACAGGAAGTTCATGGATGATTCCATTCAGAATCAGAATGGGATGGGTTCCAAAACACCCAGTCAACAATAATTAAAATATTTTATGAATTACCTGACTTTGACTTGAGAATTGGGTTTTGGCCAAATCAAATGGATATCCTAAAACAACAACTACATAAAATCAGCAATGACCATGCTGGTCTTAACTCTGGCACTTGAGTTCATATATTTACTATCTTGTGTTACTTAAATGTCTATGTTAAACTAAAAGACCTAAAGCTGCTCTACAAACTTAGTACTAACTACATAATCACTTTTTACAATATTCAAGTAGTATTAAACACGTCTTGTAATATTCTATTAAATGTGTTAACAAGAAACTTAACATTTACCTTAGGCGCTCCATCTTTTTGGATGCCAACATCATTTGTTGCAATCCCTTTCACGCTTCCATCATCATTGAAAAGAATCTATAATAATGTCAAATACATATAATTTCAATATGATTATGATTACTATTATTGTTGACTTGGTCAGATTCAACAGAGCTCTTTATTCTTCAAATAATACAAAACAAACTATTGATTCATTTCAGATATATACAATTTACTGCAAGTTCAACAAATCTCACCTCTGCACACAAAATAGTGACAGTGTCATTACCTCAGCTGCAGCATAGCCTGGATAGACTTCAACACCAAGTGCTTCTGCTTGTTCACCCAACCAGCTCACAAAATGTCCTAGACGAACTATGTAATTCCCATGATTAACCATGGGAAGACCTAGTTAACAGAAAGAAATACATCAGAAATGCTTTTACTACCCATCATAACAGCAAATTAGTTCAAAGTTTATCTTTTGCCAGGCAATTTCAGATAATGAGTATAGTAACTGTTTATAGTTTAATTATAGACCTGACTATGTGCACTAGCCATGTGCATTAGTTCACAAAGCTATCATGAAAAAAGTATTACAGGTAGTTCTCATTTATCGACCACTTGTTCAGCAACCGTTCAAAGTCACAATGGCACTGAATGAGGGGTACTTACAACTGGTCCTTGTAGTTGCGGCTGTGGCAGCGTCCTTGCAGTCACATGATTGTGATTTGGGCACTTGGCAACCAACTCACAATTACAATGTTTCAGCATCACGTGATCGCCACTTGCAACCTTCACTGCTGGCTTCCAACAAACAAAGTCAATGGGGAAGCCAGCAGGAAGTTGCAAATAGCAATCATGTTACTGCAGGTTGCTGCGATTGTGTGGAATTCGCCTAACAATAGCAACTGGGACTGCCAGAACTGCTGTTGTAAGTCAATGCAGTCACATGACACTGCACTTTACGACAGCATTGCTTAGTGACAGAATTCCGGGTCCCAATTACCACTGGTAAGCAAGGACTACCTGTACTAAACTGCCTGCTCTAAGCTGACATATTTACGTTGCAAAAACCTATCTGCCTTGTCGCCTGAGAAAAATTCTGATATGCTAGAAATGTCAAGTAGATTAGTGAATTAAAAGACTGTCTTCATTAGTGTTTTATAAATTACAGTAATATAACACTCCATCAGCACAGACATGTTAATATTTTCTTGAGTAAAGGAATAATTCATGTGAACATTTTACAGCCCAATTCAAAATGGCAAATTGCATTAAAAGAGTTTCTTATTAGAAAACTGTACCTGGAAGAATGGGAACTGGGATTCTATAGTTCTTTGTTAAGATTCCAAATCTGTCTTCTGTTACAGTAGTATGTAACGGAGCCTTAGAAAAATAAAATGAAATATGATGGTGTTAATGAAGAAACATCCAACTTCTCTTCACAAATCATTTAAATATTTTCACCATTACAGATGTCCTTTAAATTGGAACATTTAATATTCTGTTTAAAATATGAAGTTATGGAATACAAAAACACACCCCTTGTATGAAAACGGAGCCTTAGAAAAATAAAATGAAATATGATGGTGTTAATGAAGAAACATCCAACTTCTCTTCACAAATCATTTAAATATTTTCACCATTACAGATGTCCTTTAAATTGGAACATTTAATATTCTGTTTAAAATATGAAGTTATGGAATACAAAAACACACCCCTTGTATGAACACACATAAACAGGAAGATAACAAAATGACAAAAAGTCATTTTTATTCCACTATTCAGATCCACTACTGAAGGCAGTTAGCTAAAAATATATATTTTTATTTGAATTGCACTGATTTATGATTACAGGAAGTCCCTGGGTTAAGAATGTGCAGGTTACAAGCAACCCATAGTTAAGAACAGAGCTTATTGTAGCAAAATCAAATTAAATACACAATGATTTGAGTTAAATACACAATAGTTCAAGTTCATTACCCAATACTACTTATACAGTATTTTACAATAATACTGTTCTGGCTTACGCGCAGATTCAACAGACCTTGGAAACAGAACTTGTTCTTAAACTGGAGTATACTGCATTGTCTTCAAATACTATTTAATAGTGCCCAAAGTATATTAATCTAATAATTCACTTTCAAATCATTAGTCTGTTTTGTAACTAATATTAAGGAAAGATGAATTAGAACAGGTGAATCCAAACAATGAAATTCTCTTACTCCTCGTTCTTTCCAATCTGGAAAAAGTTCTTCCAACGCACGAGGCTCAAGACAAGCTCCGGACAGGATATGTGCACCAATCTGAGCAGCCTTCTCCACCAGGCAAACACGGATTTCTTTGCCATGCTCGCTAGCTAACTGCTTGAGTCGAATAGCTGCAGAAAGTCCTGCAGGACCTGCTCCAACTATAACAACATCAGCTTCTTCTGCAAATCTTTCCATGTTAATCCCTTTAATAGAGGCAAATAAAGCAATGTAGATCTATTAAAATCAGTTGTTCCATCTCCCTTGATCTGAGACATTAAGAGCAAATTCATACAGTGAACTAAAACAAGATAAATGCATACCGGAACGTTTGTTTTGTCTTGCTGGAGCATGATTAAGTGGCCATCTGTATCTATTAGAACTGTCACACTCAATTTAGCAAAATTACAAAGTAGGTTCTAAAACCTTGTTTATGTTGGATGTGAAAATAAATCCATTCTTTTTACAGACCATTAAACATGTTGCTGGAGGGATCCAGGACAATAACTTAAGGGCTATTAGGGTTCATAAATACAAAGTCCACAATGCAACTTCAAACAAAATATTTCCACAAGCCTATGTTTACTTTCAGAAACACACTGACACAATAATCACTGCAAATGTTCTCTACCTTATTTTGATTTAGAAAAAATAATCATATTGCAATTTTAATTCTCTATATATCAACGTAAAGATAAGCTGTTAATGAAACAATACAAAGGTATTGTTACATATTGCTACAGATTTATAGGATATCCTCCCAAAATATAACTAACCAATCTGTTCACGCTTATCTCTGTAATTTTATTTGTAAAATACAATCTACTCTTTTCACCTCTAGGCTACTCTTTGGTTATGGAAAAAGTTTTAGTATATATGTTTTATTTAAACACTGCTATTTACCTTCCCACCGTTTGTCTTTGTCCCGGGGGTGAATGGTATAGTGGGTAGTGATACGAGGAGCTGGGGAACCAGAAGTCCATCTCGCTGCATATAAAGGTAGAAGACTGCCTTTTCTTGCAGACTTCAAGGCAAACAGAAGATGAAGTGCTGGAGTAAAACAACAACACTTATTTTGTGATCAGATTTTATTTTAAAGATTTAGTTTAGATTGGACAAATGCTTAAACACTCCCCCATTACATGAGAAAGTATTCAGGTTGTCCTCACTCAGCGACCACAATTGGAACCAGCAACTTGGTCACTAAGCAACTTGGTCACTAAGTGAAACATCACATGACTGCAACAGGCTTCCTTCTGCCTCACTTCTGTTGCGGTTAAGTGAATCACCGTGGGTCATTAAATGATACATCATGTAACTATGACTTGCGATTTTACTGCCAGCTTCTCCATTGACTCTGCTTGTCGGATGCCAGTTGTGAAGCGTGCAAATGGCAATCACATGACCGAGGGACACTGCAACAGTTGTAAACAGGTGCCAGTTGCGAAGTCCCCAAATCTTGAACATGTAATCATGGGGACGCTGAGATGGTTGTAAATGTGAAGACTGGTCCTGAAGTTAATGTTTCAACATCATTGTAACTTTGAATGGTCACTAAACAGGGTAGTCGTTAAGTCTACCTATACTCATATAGCAAACAAATAAATAACAATAGTACATAGTTGACACAATATCTATCAAGAGATGTAAGAAGTTACTTAATCATGATCTCTTGTCAATGTCATTTTCTTAATGGATACCTAAAACAAGGCTAAAAGCTGATGTTCAAAGAACTTTATAGCTTCCCCAAATATCTATTATATTCCCTGCATTTTTCATGGAGTACAGCTATGACCCAAAGAGCACAGGGGCATATAACCTTGGCTAATATATTTAATTGGGCTAATGCAATCCAATTTCAAAGGAGTCATAATGTTTTAATGCCCATAAATTAGACTGTCAAAATAACCTTTTTTGGAATACACATATGTTCTGTAGCAGGATATACAAGAATATTAATAGCAAAGAATTTGCACTGAATTTCAGGACTACTTATAAGAACTGAGAGAGGAAAAGCCAGAAAAATTCTATGTGATCTGTTTGTGATTAATACACATTTTCTGTCAAGTTACAAGCTATCACCAAAGGGAGGAAAATCTAATACTGATTACTAAACTTAAATCTTCACATCTTGGTTAATCATTTTTAAACATTTTCTTCACACTTTGTTCCTGTCCTTATAGAAATCCCTTTATTTATATTACAAACCCAATAGGAGTAGCTAGTTCGCAGTACTTAATTGGGGGAATTACAGAGTGTGGAATGTCTGTGTACAACCATATTCTCGGAGCTGGACAACAGAACAATAACTAAAAAGCAGTAAGCTGATACTTATACACTGATGTTTGACTATACAAAATATTTACCAGTGCTTGACTACAGTCAAATAATAGCTGGTTAAGTAATAGTATCATACTGAACAATTAACGTATATCTCATTCTATTATTTTAATGATTTCTACTTTATAATAGACCTCTGGATAACATAATTAAAGCATATTCTTAAACTTGCTTATTACAGTGATCCACTGGATTTGTTGAGGTCCCTAGTTCGCATCTGGTAATGACTCACAATGTAACCAGTATGCAGCTGTAGGTGCTATGGGTCTGTTGATGGCATCTAGTCTATTCTTTCATTTTTGTTTGTTGTGGGCTAGCTGTTTCACTTCTATTAGTTTGAATCTAAATTTCGCTAATCTTCCTCATGCTTCAGCCAATTTTCTTTGAGCTGAATGCTGTACTTTCCAACCTAGAAAGTTAATCAATGGGACCATACAGCACATGTGCCCCAACCACCACAAGTATCCAAATGCTTCTGAATTTCATCAGGAACCATGGGTTGGTTGCAGCATCATTCTTTGTTTCATTTTAGTATTTTATCATAGATTGAAATCCCTACTACTTGGCACAGGCAATGCATTTGGAAAACTTTAAACTTCCAAATCATTTTGAAGCAAGGTTGAAGATTCTGCACCATACAGCAGCATCAGTAGCATTAATGATTCTGCTCATTTTGATAGCAATGTTTATGCTGTTTTTTTGTCAGATGCCCTATATCAGTGCTCCAAAGACTGAGGCAGCTTGACTGATTCAACTGTTGATATCAGCTATGGCAGTCATTTTCTGTTCTTGGACAATTATTTATTTAATTTATAGGCTGCTTGACTCCCAAATGACTCTGGGTGGCTTACAATTAGAAGCCAACTTATTAAAAGAAAAATACAACTGACAAGAAGAGCAAAATACAAAAACGCGACTATACAAAAAACAAGCAAAACAAAAACAAGAAATGTGCTCCATAATCACCCTGTCCCCAAGGCCTGGAAGAATTAAACCAAAGTATTTAAATAGTTCAACTTGTTCAAGTTGAGTTCCATCAAAGAGACACTGGCTGTGAATACCTTGGTCTTGATGGTTAAGCCATATAGACAGGTAGCAGCTTTTATATCAAATATGGTATCATAGAGTTTTCCTTCACTGTCTATAAAAAATCATGCTGTTATCAGCAAACATTAAATCTGGGATGAATTCTTATTGTCCAACTTGGAGGCTACCTTTGCCAGCAAAGACTTTCTGCATGAATGCATAGATCACAATATTGTGTGAGGCAAGGATGCAATGCAGCCTTGCCTCAAACCAGTACATACAAGGAAGTCTTTAGACATTCTGCCATTAACCCAAACAGAACTTTAGTTTGCAGGAGGTGTACTATGTTAGAAGGCACATTTTCTGCAGTGAGTGCTTTCCAAAGCATTGGCTGATGAACACTACCAAATGCTGCAACGTCAATGAACACAGAGATGAACTTCTTTCCACACTTGATGTGTTCCTCTAGCTATTGTCATAGCACAAATATTTTATTACACCATCCCCTTCCAGGCCAGAAACCAGCCAGTTCTTTTCAGACTAGTTGTTCTTTTTTCTAAAGCCCTTGTTGGATTACTTTTATAAATATCTTGCCCATAATTTACAACAGGTTAATCCCACAGTAATTCTTATATTCCAGATTGTCCCTTTTCTTGAAAATTGATATGACCATTGCCTGTTACCATGATTTGATATTTCCTCAGGCTACCAGATCATTTGAAGGAGTGGAGCTGACAGTTTGTGTATGACTACCAGCCTTTAGCATTTCTGCACTGGCTTAATTTGTTCCACCAACTTTTTAATTAATAGATAGCAATTTTTATTTCAGAGAATCTGGGGTCACATTCTTCAGTGGTTTCATCTGGAACTACCCTCAAGAGTTGGTAGTCCTACTCAAATGTTTTTCAGAGCAGGGCTGTTGTAAAAAAGCTGGAACTATTCATGCCAATAACTCAGTTATTCAATTCAAAAGCATACAAAAGTGCTACCTGCCTTTCTGGTGTTGTCACTTGTTGCTGAAATTTAGGTCTGAAGGAGCATAATGTGGTGTAGAAGCTGCAGTATTTGTGGTGATGTGCAGCTTTTTCAAGTTCTTCTGAAATGTTATTCCAATAGGCATTCCATTCTGCTTTGAAGAGGTATGGACTTGCTTACTAAGCTGTCAATATGGTGTCACATCTAGATATTTGAGGGTGGCAGATTGGTTGGCGACCATCTGTTGAAACTGTTATTTGCAAATAAGGTCCTGTATTTTTAGCTGTTCATGTTTGAGTGTAGCTATATTATGAGCAATTTCAACTGGAGTTATAGGACTCCATGTACAAAGTGATGGCCAGAACCACAGTTGATTTAGGATTAGTTTATTTATTTTATTATTTATTAATAAGATTTATATTCTGCTGGTAAAAGAACTTCCTAGTCTGAAACTATGATTTCCATATAGACCTGAACTGGGTTACTTCTCAGCTACCCACAGAATGAAAACAGAGAACAGAAGAGGGGAAGAGGCAAAATATTCCAACAAAGGGAACTTCCAGATGGGAGAGATCTGATAAAGCAGAGGTACACAACTTTTTGGTGGCCAAAATTTGTAATATTTGGGAATTGCTAAGGGCCACAAAGTGGGTACAGCAACATTATACAAATGACAGAACTGTCTTTTGTGGAAAGAAGTCTGTTTTTAATGGTGATATGTCTATACAGAGCTTCTATTGCAGTTTTTATTTGATTCCACACTTTAAAATGGCATGCAATTTTCAGGCATCATGGTCAAAGGAGGCCCTTAGAGATGCAACAAAAGGGATTCATGGGTTGTAAGTAGCCCTTGGATTGTACCCTGCCCTGCCCTGCAATTAGAACAGTAATTACTATGTTCCATCCCTACCAATTAGAGGATGCTGCAGCTAGTAGCCTGTGAAAGTGATCCTTTCCCATGTTTTGTTATTTGGTGCACAGCAAAAAGCCGGAGAACGCAGCTAGTCAGATAAGTTGGATTTAACTCCTTGCTCTGAGAGGAGCATTTCTATTATAATCAGAGGAGAGCTTTAGTTTGCCAACCTCTTAGCTCCTGTTTCTTTGCTGTAGTGTGCGTTGGCTTGACTGGGCATGCCAGCATCAGTCATTCTGAAGGGGACGAAAGCAAATTTGAGGGAATGACACTGAGGAAACCTGGGCATCAGGATAGCAGATGAGGGAGTGACACATGAGGAAATCTGAAGGGAGGGACAATATAGTCAGTAACTGGCCAGCAGCCAAGCACTGACTAGCTGCCAGTTCTCTGTATTCAGCTGTTGGGCAAAACAGGGCTAGTGATTGGTTAGAGATTCTCTGCATGTCCTAATCTATATTGCTGACTTCTGAAAAGATCTCAACTAGTTCAAACAGCATCAAATGGTTTGAACTGGAATCAGAAGAATTTGAGAATAGAAAAGCTATCATCTTGGAGTACCCCCAAACAGGTTCTTTCTTCTCACACGCACGTTAAGATTTCTTGCTTCTTACCTTCTATGCAAGTTTCTGTTTTGCAATTTTTTTCTCCTTTCATCATAATCACACTATTATAAATGCATAGGATCCTTAAAAGTTTTGTTCCACAGTAAGACTGATCTCTGTTCAAACAAAACTACAGTACTTTGTAAGCCAGTAACCTTTGCCCTAATTTTAGTCCTGACCAATAGGGGGAGGAAAAAGAAACTTGAAAGATTTGTGAGAATCCTTTTAGAGAAATCCTTTCTGATGGCCATTAGAAGGCCACCCAAATCCCATCCCCAGATGATTGTAATTTTTTTTTCTCCAATTGTTTTATTATATTTATTCCCATAACTTTTGATCTCCCATGATCAGAACTCCACCCATTTCCCATGTTTGCTGACATTAGAATCAAAACCCTGATTATGCTCACAAGCCACAGTGTGGCTTGCACATTAATATTTATTCATTTTATACACTTTGCCCCACAGTTGCAGCCATCTAGTTATGTATGCATCCCATTCCTCTGACAGCTGTCAAATCTAACTACTTCTCCAGAGACTATTTTGGTGATCAGGGCTAGTACCAAACTGAAATCACACACAGATAAAACAAACATTGCACATATAAAAACTACACATCTTTTCTGGAGAAAAATTCCTGGGTTTTGTTCTCTGCTTCTAGCCTTGGTTCTCACTTTCAGTGGGAGTCGAGAAACTGCACTCTGTAATAGAAAGGAAGATACCAACCGAACTGAGAGCTTCCCTTTCTTCTCCTTTCTCCTGAGATTTAATGCAAACGTATCTTTAACAGGCACAACGAGTTCATGTGAATTAAATGATATTCGTTAAGCAGAGAGAGAGAAAGAGAGATGTAGTTATGCTCTTTTTTCAATTCTATCTGAATAGAATAAAAAATTGCCAAAGTCACTGCAGGGGGGAAAGTTTCAAAACACGAAACCATTGCAACCGATTCACAAAACAGAACGAAAAGATATTTCACCTTGACGTGAAAGCCCGCAGGTGGGAAAGGGCATGATGTTGAGTTAGGGAGCTCTCCCTCTGGGATTTCCAAGAGACTCCTTCCTATTGCTTAAAGGACTCTATCTCGTGTGTGTCCACGGCTCAAGGGAAACTCACAACTGGGGTTCCATCTTCCCACAGGTCTGCAGCCGAAGCAACAACATGTTCGCTCACGCCCACAGGCTCACGTCGAAGTCGCGGCACTTGCATTACAGCTTGGAAAATGGAAGCGCCACATAGAGCAAAGAATACTTTATTAAACTATCATTCCCAGCATGCCCCGCAGAGCGGGCCTTCCTGGTGTTCACAAGAAAAACTGCGAAGCGCTTCCTGGGAGGAGTAGTTCGTATGTGCCTCAGATCGTGGGCGCTCAAAACCAACGGACGAACTACAGCGGGTAGCATAAGGTTGCTTTTTGTTTTTCTTCAGGAAAGTAATATTAGCTTTCCCCTTAACCTCCACGTTAATACAGAAAGGAATGAGGCCTCTCAGATGTTAGGAGCACATTGTCAGAACTGCTTGGAATTTGTAAGGAGTGATTAGGCCGGGGACATGCTTTTAATTTTTTTCTATCTTTAAGGTGCACTGCGGAAGCTGACTTGAGTGAGAAGGCGGGTGTAAAAATGCTGCAGTGAGCGGTGATTGGTTGAAGCGCGCTTCAGGAACTTGAGCGGCCCGTCCTTCGTAATTTAGCGCAGTGTATATCCGCTGGGGAATTGTAGTTCAATTGCGTTGGCAGACGGACGCTCGGCCCTCCCGCGTCATTGGGCAACGTCCTCACTAGAGTGGGGGCGTG